TACCCCACCCCCATTCTCTTATTCTCTCAGTTTGTGTCTTTTTTATTGTCTCTATTTCAGTCTTCAAATCTTGAAGTGTTTTCTTCACCTGTTTAATTGCTTTTTCTTGGCTTTCTTTAAGGGCTTTATTGATTTCTTCCATTTTTTTCATCTTTTCCTCAATTTCTTTAAGGGAAATTTTCATTGCCTCTTTAAAGGCCTCTATCATCTTCTTAAGGTCAATTTTAAGGTCAATTTCTTCTGCTTATTCTGTGTGTGAATGTTCAGTTTTTGCTAATGTAGAACAACTAGGTTCTGATGGTACCATATTGGTCTTTTTGTTGTTGACTGTATTTTTGCACCGGTGTCTATCCATCTCTTCCTCCACTTGGTGCAATTGGTGTCTGTGTCTGAGGGAGCCTCTCTTGGTCTGATGGATACACTTATTTCAATGGGAGCTCTTGGTCTGATCAGAGCTCTTGGTCCAGTTGGTGCTGATGGACTCTGTGTCTCAGGGAGCAGCTCTTAGTCTAATCAGTGCTGGTTGGGTTGGGTGGAGTTGGTACTTGTGGGTTTCAGGATCTGGTGGTGGTGGTGATATTATGACCTTTCTGCAGGAGACCTGTTCTGCTGGCCTGAAACTGGGACTGCAATGGCCCAAAACCTAGAGGATGGGGTATTTGGCTATGAGAACAAAGACTCACCTCTTAGTCCAATCAGCGGTGGCAGGTTCTGTCTCATTGAGCAGCTGCAGTCTTGGAGGGTCGATATTTGTCTTCTTCATTGCGCCTTTTTTCTTTTTTCAGGTCTTGAACTTTTCCCTTCACCTGTTTAATTGCTTTTTCTTGTTTTTCTTGGCTTTCTTTAAGGGATTTATTGATTTATTCCAAATCTTGTTTTTTACTCATTTTCTTTAAGGAAATTTTTTATTTCCATTTAAAGGCTTCTATCATCTTCATAAAGTTATTTTTAAGATTGCTTCTTTCTGCTTCTTTTATGTTGTGATGTTCAGGTCTTGATGTTGTAGAATTGCTACTTCTGGGGGTACCGTATTGTTCTTTATGTTGTTGCATGTATTTTTGCACTGGCATCTACCCATCTTCCTCCAACAGGTACAAGAGGTTTTTGTGTCTGTGGGAGCTGCCTTTGGTCCAATCTGTCCTTGCTGTGTTTGTGTCTCAGAGGGCCACTCTTGGTCCAATCAGAGCTCTCGGTCTAGTTGGAGCTCTTGGTCCAATCAGAGCTGGTGGATCTGTGTCTCAGGGAGCCATTGTGGTCACAGGGGAATGGGTGAGTTTGCCGTAGGGAGTGGGTCTTATAGATAGCAGGGTCCATTGTCGGGTGTTGGTGGGGAGACCTGCCCACAGGGTTCTTCCCTGCTGGCCTGAAACCGGGGCAGCAATGGGTGGGGGACACAGATTGTACCCCATGGCCTAAGTAATAAAGGCAGGACGCTCTGGGTGGGAGAAGAGGCATTCATCTCTTGGTCCAATCAGAACTGGTGGATTCTGTGTTTCAGGAAGCCACTGAGAGCTCAGGCAGGTGGGTGGGTTTGGGGTAGCTAACGGATATTTTAGATTGCAGGGTCCAATGGGAGGGGATGTTAAGGAAGCCTGCCTGCAGGATTCTTCTTATTCTACATTTCCTAAATGTAGAATATATATACTAAAAGTTTGTGATCAATAAAATGTAAAAAAAAAGGCGAAATTCAGCAGAAGCCTTACTTTCCTAGTGCACCTGAAATGACACTGTGTCAATGTATCTGTGGTAACACATGTAAACCATGGGGGAAGCATACAGCATTTAATTTACATCAGCATATTAGCCACATGTTAACTGTTAATAATGAAACTTTCAATTCTAAAAAAATAGATCTTTTACCTTAAATGGTTGGAACAAAGAGAGGACCTTTAACTATTTTGTACAAAATCTAGGGCCTGGCACCTCCAAGCCACTCTGGCCATTAGTGGTGTTCATTCCCAAGATGACAGTGTGAGAAAATTACTTCTCTCCAGAGCTGGTCAATCAATTAACAACATCTACCTGTTAATCATACAGATCCCAGGTCTAAAACATAAGCAATTAGCCTCCTAAGCTAAATCTTGCATCAATAAACCCAGTTGAAAGTGA